AGAGCCCTACAATTTACACTGGCTCAATGATTACGGTGCGATCAAAGTGACTAAGCAAGCCCGAGTTCCTTTTGCAATTGGAGATTACAAGGATGAGCTAGATTTTGATGTTGCTCCAATGCAGGCTGCACACATCCTACTTGGGCGTCCCTGGCAATTCGATCGACATGTATGGGGGAACTAATTGCTATAAGCTGAAGCACCAAGTCCGACAGTTCCTGCTCAAACCAATGACACCTGCTGAGGTTCGAGCTGATCAACATCAATTGGCAGTGAATCGGGCCAAGGAAAATGGAGAAACGAGTGAGGGAAATAAGGAGGCGAGTATCATCACTCATCGCTACCTGCTAACCGTATTGAAGCGGTTTCATCCACATAGGCTAGCTACTACGAAGCAACTCTGTTCGCCGGCAGGAAGAAAACAGGGAAGGAGAGAGGTGCAATTGGGGGGAACAATGGGAGGTGAATCGAGCCCCGCCATTAGCGCCTACACGTTCCCCATGATACCAGAATACTCCTCCCAGGATGATACCAAGCCAACTATCGCCACAACTCGCAATCTGATTCAAGCCGAAGTTGCTCTGGAAAGGCTCGACTACGCTGAAAAATTGAGCGAATGGGTTGGGGCATCTAGGCACGATTCGACCCCTAGGACCATCGCAGAATCTTACGGGGAGGTCATCCAAAGCTGTACAAATCTCCAATTCCACCCGAAGATCCTTAGAACGGAAATGCCCAATTCAAGGTCAAGAGTTTTGGTTCCTAGACATTCAAAAGACGGCAGTGGCGGGAAACAGCGTGTAGTTGATTCGGAGAGGAGTCGAGGTGAAATACAGGTCCAGAAGTGCAATTCGAGGCCTGCCGAATCTACTGGAACAGCGTGTAGTTGATTCGGCAAGGAGTCGAGGTGAAATACAGGTCCAGAAGTGCAATTCAAGGCCTGCCGAATCTACTGGAGCGCCTGAATTTGGCTGGGTATGCCTGGATTCAAAACCCCTAAATCACATCATGAAGAACACTCACCTCATTCTGCGAAAATGCGAGTTCGGGCAGCCATATGGTGACCTAGTCTGGGATCAATTCTGTGCACGATTTGATCAAAGAAAGTCCAAAGTGTTTAGGGCAACACTTTTTCAAGAGGGAGGGCCTGATATGATCTCACCTAGATCAATTCCTAGTCTCCAATTGATGGCCAAAGAATCCAACTCATTCCCTTTAACTAACTCTGAAATTTTGCTAAGTGTTACTACAGTTTCAGGTAGGTCACTTTGCGAGCTCGTTCCTTACAAATGGCTCAATGGAAATGGGGGATTAGAGGCTTGTTTGGAAGATGGGATAACCCTCTACAACGGGACACGTTTGGGGTGCTCAAAAGGAAGCCAGGAAGATCGATTTTTGAGCTGCTCAAAACACTATGCTGACACTGGAAAACTGCCCAGAATTCTCTAAGTCTGGAAGACAGCTTGAGTACCCGACTTTGGACGCTAATTCGAGAAGGGTAAATGGGAACTGGCCCAAGAGGGCGATACTACATGAAACTAGAAGATTCCTACTACAACCTAGAGGCATTGGATGATTTAAATGAAGATCGGAAGCCTTCGAATGAAAGCCTGCAAGATCGTTCGAAGACCAGCTGAAGCTGTCTTGCAAATTCAGCAGTCCGAGTCCTTTGCGGATTAGGATTCTTTTACCTTTTCCTGTTCCACCCGAAGGTCCTTAGAACGGAAATGCCCAATTCAAGGTCAAGAGTTTTGGTTCCTGGACATTCAAAAAACGGCAGTGGCGGGAAACAGCGTGTAGATGATTCGGCGAGGAGTCAAGGTGAAATACGGGTCCAGAAGTGCAATTCGAGGCCTGCCGAATCTACTGGAGCGCCTGAATTTGGCTGGGTATGCCTGGATTCAAAACCCCTAAATCACATCATGAAGAACACTCACCTCATTCTACAAAAATGCGAGTTCGGGCAGACATATGGTGAACCAGTCTGGGATCAATTCTGTGCACGATTTGATCAAAGAAAGTCCAAAGTGTTGAGGGCAACACTTTTTCAAGAGGGAGGGCCTGATATGATCTCACCTAGATCAATTCCTAGTCTCCAATTGATGGCCAAAGAATCCAACTCATTCCCTTTAACTAACTCTGAAATTTTGCTAAGTGTTACTACAGTTTCAGGTAGGTCACTTTGCGAGCTCGTTCCTTACAAATGGCTCGATGGAAATGGGGGATTGGAGGCTTGTTTGGAAGATGGGATAACCCTCTACAACGGGACACGTTTGGGGTGCTCAAAAGGAAGCCAGGAAGATCGATTTTCGAGCTGCTCAAAACACTATGCTGACACTGGAAAACTGCCCAGAATTCTCTAAGTCTGGAAGACAGCTTGAGTACCCGACTTTGGACGCTAATTCGAGAAGGGTAAATGGGAACTGGCCCAAGAGGGCGATACTACATGAAACTAGAAGATTCCTACTACAACCTAGAGGCATTGGATGATTGAAATGAAGATCGGAAGCCTTCGAATGAAAGCCTGCAAGATCGTTCGAAGACCAGCTGAAGCTGTCTTGCAAATTCAGCAGTCCGAGTCCTTTGCGAATTAGGATTCTTTTACCTTTTCCTGTTTGCGTTTGATTTCATAGTTTGATTCTGTTTAAAACTTTTATATTGAGTTGTTAGCTAGCCTAAGTCTATTTAAGGACGTTCCATTACATTGTAATAGGTAGAATCGATTAAGTTGAATAAAACCTGAGTTTTGGTTCATTAGCTTTTGCTTGTGGATTGTTGAGTTGCTTGGTGGATTCCGAGCAGCGTGGAAGCTTGTATCGATCAATTCGACACCTTGATCGTGGCCAAGCATCGACCTATCTGTTTCGAGCCTTTCTCCGCATGAAGAATTGCACAAAATTGACCATTTTCATCATTCTAATCATCCATAGTTTGCTGATTTGGAATTGAGTCAAGCTCAATTCGTTTGCTGCGAAATTCTGAGCCTAAAGACCCTACCCTGGGCTTTATCAGCTCCGATTAGAAGCTCGAACACCTAATTGTATAAAAAACAAACTTTGATAATTTTGGGAGGAAGTTTTTATTTTTGGATTGACTAACTTTGCTTTTCAAAAGTGAACAATTTTAGTGAACAAAATCATTTTTTGCAAGACATAATAATATATGTATATCACACTTTCTATGATATACTTTTTTTCTTCTGTACTTCTATAAATAATATTTTCTCCTACTATTCCTCCCACTCAATTTTTTGTACTCTCAAAGTTTTATCTTCCCCTCTTCGAAAATAGAGGGTTCACGAAATAAATGATGCTTAAATCAATAACAATACGTCATTCAGTATTATTATACTACCAAAATGTTATTCATCCGCCCGCATCACATAAAGATCGGTTTAGGCATGAGAAATATTTGGACTTTATTCTTTGAATGACCAAGAATACTAAAAGTTGGATATTTTTGTCACAAAGGTAAAATTAGCGAGGACCAAAAATCTTGGTCGTGAACTCTCACATGTCACGCGATCTCTAGATCACAACCGAATGTTCCCGACCATGATCCTTTGTCTTTTGCACACGAACTCTCCTTTCCCATTTGTCTTTACTTGATGTCCTATTCTCCTTCATGTAGCTTAAACCCACACACCTTCCCCTAATAAACATTATATACATGCTAGGAAGCAAAACAAGGCTAGGATATGAGTTCAAGTATTCATTGAAGCACAAAGTGACATGATAAACCAACATCTAGAAAGACAAACAACACCAATTTGCGTGTTATTAACAATTATAAATATTGGTAGATGTTTCACTGACCAACTCATTAATGATTAGAAGACTGTTTTTTTTTTTTTTCTAATGTTAATGAAATACTAGAATATCCAATATATCGAAATTTGGCTAGTGATGCTAAGGGTTTGTTGTACTTTCCATGAAGATAGATTATGGTGCTATGCTTAAGGATTAGACTATTAGTAACAATAATATGTTTGCCTTACAGGACTGAAGACAAAACCAACTAAACAGAATCGAGAAAAAGAGTGCAGAAGTTATAGAACTACAAAGAACTTGTTCTACTATATAAGAGCTAGATTCCTCTCAAAATCAGCATATTCCTCAATCCAAGTCCAAGTCTATCTCCACACTTGAGAGTGATAAAATTATTTCTAATAAATATGAATACTAGTTCCCCCCCTATCCAAATCTCTACACTTCGCTTAACTTAGATCATCCCATTCTTGACAATGATTATTATAGGTTATTCGAATGCCGGTCGGAGATTAAAAACCTCTTATCAGGCCATCCACCTCGATATCGTACGTAAATTTTATGAAAAAATAATGTTAGCTAATTTTGAGCCATTAAATTTGCAATGCCGATACTTTCAATTAATTGACGATATTACACCAGTATAATATTAGTTGAATATCCAGTTTTATTTTATCTAGGTATTTGCTACCTATTCAATCACGGTTATACTACTAGAATATTATTTATTCCGCTAACTTATCCGATACTACATTTAGTACGGTTTTACTAATCGATGATGCGGTTCTTGATACAAAAGTATATTCCATGCTTAATACACTAGTTTGACTGAGGTGGTAAGCTTGATTTTTAACTGGGTTTTAGGATAAAGACTACAACCATAGATTTCCTTCCGCAGAATAACACCTTAGATTTAGTTGAATGGGGAATATGGAAACTAATTTCAGTTTTGATACACTGAGATCACAAAAGCATCAAAACGGAATCCAAATTAATAATTTTGTTTCTTAATAGTAATTAATTTGTTACCATTCAGTTAGGAAGTAGCCTAAAAATTCCATGATGGTTCATTTTATAAACCCAGGCACCCCAAGTTCTTACAGAAAAGTAGCAACCGCCATACCTTCCCAAAACTCCATTTGTAGAGAGAGCTAAGGCATATATCACTTGTTTTCCTCTCAAAAAATTCACCACAAACCAAAGCAAATTTGGCTCTTAATCCTTGAGATATCCATGGAGGAGACAACCACAGTGATCATAGTTGGGGCAGGCCCAGCTGGTCTGGCCACTTCAGCCTGTCTCAACATGTTCTCAATTCCAAACATTGTCCTAGAAAGGGAAGATTGCTGTGCCTCCCTGTGGAGGAAAAGAGCCTATGATCGTCTGAAATTGCACTTGGCTAAACGATTTTGTCAACTCCCACACATGGGTTTCCCACCAAATTCCCCAAAATTTGTCCCAAGGAATGATTTCATCGAGTATTTGGACTCTTATGTGTCCAAGTTTGAGATAAATCCTAGGTACATGAGGCAAGTGGAGGAGGCAATCCATGATGGGGAGAAATGGAGGGTGAGGGTTAAGGATTTGGGTAGGGATGAATCTGAGGAAGTGTATTGTGGGAAGTATCTTGTGGTTGCAACAGGTGAAAACAGTGAAGCGATCATCCCCAAATCCCCTGGACTGGAAGGCTTCAAGGGAGAGGTCATGCATTCGAATCAATACCACAATGGGGAGAGGTTTGAAGGGAAGGATGTTCTGGTTGTGGGTTGTGGGAATTCCGGGATGGAGATAGCCTATGACTTGTCGAATTGGGGTGCCAAAACCTCGATTGTCGTACGTAGCCCGGTAACGATCTCCTTCGCATTTTTTTTTATCATTTACGCATGTAAAAATATATATATACGCGCGCACACTGATCGACTCGTCGGTCATGCATATACGTCAAAATACGAAACACGTGTTACACTGTTATTACTTACCAAATAGTGATTAACATTCGAGACATTTACGTGCTACTAGCGCGGATATCGAATTAATTTCAAAGGTCGAAAGTTCAATTGAATGGAACCATTTATTTTCCTGCCTATTCCTCTAGTTAACCTATAGTAAGATAATTAATGACCTTCTGATATTCAAAGATATGATAAATCTCATTTATCATGGTCAACCTAGTAATTTCTTATATCCTGATATAGATTTGAGACACTGAAACTAATTATTAGTCTAACAATCTTTATCATGTGGTCTTTTTTTTTTTTTTTTCTATTTGTCCAGGTTCATATACTTAGCAAAGGAATTGTCTACAAAGCTATGCGTCTCCTTCCCTACTTGCCGGTTAACATTGTTGATCGTCTAATTGTCGGTATGGCAAAGCTAAAATTCGGGGACCTATCGAAGTTTGGGATCGAGCAACCCAAATTAGGTCCGTTTACTCTGAAAGGCAAAACGGGACGGACCCCAACCATTGATACTGGCACTGTAGGAAGGATCAAGGCAGGAGAAATTAAGGTACGAGGTTACAGACTTTAAATGTTACATATTTGCTTGGGTCACAATTCAAGTTGGATTTAACGACGGGATTTGTATGTGCGTGGTGGCAAAAGGTGGTGCCAGCAATTACAGGGATTACTGGGGATCACGATGTCAAGTTTGCCGATGGGAAGACTGAGCACTTCGATGCCATCATTTTTGCTACTGGGTACAGGAGTACTGTCCGACGTTGGCTTAAGGTATATAAATCAACAAAGAAATTGAAATTTCTGGGTTTCCATTTCTTGGGTTTTTTTTTTTTTTTTTTTTGTAATTTGTTTCAACTGGATCATATGTACAGGATGGTGACAAGCTATTCAATGAAGATGGGATGCCAGCAAGAAGATTCCCAAAGCACTGGAAAGGGAAGAATGGGGTTTACTGTGTGGGATTTGGGCAGAAGGGGCTGGCTGGAATCTCCATGGATGCGATTCAAGTGGCTGGTGACATTAGGACGTTAATATTGCATGAGCTATTGCACTAATTCTAGGGGAATGGGGTTGTGACATTGAGTGTGTTTGTTGTCCAAGGTTGTGAGTTGTGATCCGGTTTCGTTATGTATCAAGTTTGTTTGTGTCGTTAAGTTTGGGACTTCGAGGTTATCCGTAACTTTAAACATACAGTGGAGCTTTATTTTTATGACAGACATTAAATGTTGTATGATCTTGATATGGAAGTTAATTATTAACTATGTTTAATGAATTAAAAAGTTGAGATTTATATCTTTCGAGCTTTTTTATGGGTTTGGTGTTTTCACTAGTTTAAAATATTAGCTCCCACTGATCTTTCAATTTTGGTACAATGATAAAAAATCATTTGAAATATCATATAATATAAAATTGAAATAGTTAGAACTTTTGTCCGGCCTTCCATTAGTTGACTCTGACATATCATATGGATGGCAACAAATTAATCTTTTTGCATTTACGTATAAAAATTGAGAACCAGAATTTTAGATATTTTAAGTATATGCTTAAAAATTATTTATTTTGAATAATTAAGAAGAAGGGGTTAATTAAGATGTAAATTATAGTTAATGATTTTGGTTTATGTTTTGATTTATTTAAAAGTCCGAATTTTTAATTTTAAGAATTAAATAATTTTGGGAAATTTATGAGAATTCTTATGAGATTAATGCAAAGGGTTATCTAATTAGTTTGAGAAAAAAGTCATTTGAAAGAGTCTAGGGCCTTTTTAAAGAATTTTGGACTAAGCTTGGAGGACGGAAAATTTTACGGAATATCGACTAAGGGAATTTATCTCGGTTAATAGGATTAAGGAAGCGATCAAGTTAAGGGACTCCACGTCCAATGAAGTAAAGTATCGGCACTTGAGAGGTGAGTGTAAATGGGGTTAAATCTCTGTCGAGGTCCTTTTAGAGCATTTTATTTCAAGTTATGTCGTTAAATTAAGAGTTATGCGCGTTTACGTATTTGAGATATCTCACCGCCTACTGAAGGTGGAGACAAGCGTTGTGCTATGTATATGAATGTGCGTGATGATGTATGAATGGTCACTGTTAAGAAATGGAACCCTCGGGCGGTCGGATCACTGCTTGACGCAGTAGTTGATCAGGATCATTGCTGGATGGTGATACGTAACGCAGTAGTGATCGTGCATGGTATTGGACGGCGATACGTAATGCAGTAGCGATCGGGCATGGTATTGGACGACAATACGTAACGCAATACCATAGCTTTAAAGGTAGGGACAACGGACGGCGATACATAATGCGGTGGTCCCTAGTAGTAACTATGTGTATGAGTTAAGGATAGGAGTACAGAACTCCTATAAGATAATTAGAGGAATAGGTTATAAAGGGTGAAAGTGAGAACGGCTTTCACGTAAGCGGGAAATTCTAGTAACGTTAAATATTAAAGAAATGCTTAAGGCAAGGTAACGACGAGACTGACCCCTTCTCACTCACCAAATGTAAATAGGGAAAGAGGGCGTGACCATCCAAAGGAGGCCATCCGTGGAGAGGATCCGCGACAACTTTCAGGATGTTAGAAGGATCAGGGTAACGAGATGGGACCCTTGATATATCTGTCTTTATTTCATGTCTTTCTGAGTATACTGGAAATTCAAAGATTACGTTTTAAGTGTTTTGGATTGAAGTTGCCCAAGTGTTTAGGGCCTTTCGTTTGAGATTCTCAAAGTATAGTCGTTTGCTGGTTTTTGCCTTGACTTTCAAACGTGGTTTTGGTTTCTCTGGAGTAACCGGTTGATAGCTTTCGGGTTTTTATTGGTTTCAAAAGATCTGGTTTTTTCACCCTAAGTATCTAAACATTTCATAGTAGTCCTAGACTAGGGTGAGGGATAGTTCGCCGAAGTACCTGCTTTTATCTTTATTTGATCTCTAGACTAGTTAGTTCGCTCATATCCTTTAACACAAACCCTTAAACCAATCGGGTAGATAACGACAACGTAGGAAGTAGGCTAGGGTATCAAGACCCGAGTGAATACGACATTGATTGCCACAATACGGCAAAACCATTTTAGGTTAAACTTGGTCTAGGACGGGGTAGTTGTTCACACGTGCTAACTAGTGCCAATAATCTGCGCGGATGAATGCGATCAAATTTTTTGGCGTCATTGCCGAGGAACCTTGCTAACTAGTAGAAAACCATTGACTTGTTAGTTTATCCTTTATTTTGTTTTGTTTTGTCTTGTGTTCTTGTTTGAGTTTATGCTACTTTCGTAGTTTGTTTCGTTTTGTATTTTGTTATCCAATTTTGTGCCTCACGGGTTGTTGAATTTGTGTCTCGTAGCACCTTTTTATTCGAAAAAGGGATTATTTGGAGATAATTCCTCTTGATACAGAAATCCAGAGAGAACCTTTCGGAACCTAAGAAGTGTTGCAAGATATCAATCTCCACCAATGGGGGATCATCAAGCTCAAATTCCATAAAGGCCTAGAACAATGGGTTCTTACTCAATTCTAAGTGTGGATAATGTTCAATCTCATATTCTTCACCCAACGGTGCCTAACAACAACTATGAGATAAAGCCGGGCACAATTTGATGCTTCAAAGTGTGGTTCAATTCAATGGGATGATGAGTGAAGATGCTCATGCATATATCAAGTCGTTCTACGAGTCGACAGACGAAAATAAGGTTAACGGGTTTCCTCAAGAGGCAATTCGCCTAAGGTTATTTCTGTTTACTCTAAATGGAGCAGCGAAGCAATGGTTGAATAATCATCCTCATCACTCCATCATCTCGTGGGATGATCTATGCAACAAGTTCTTTGCATGGTACATTCCACCCTCTAAGACTGCTTAATGAGAAGTGAGATTACTATGTTCCGTCAAGAGGAAGATGAACCATTGTTTGAAGCATGAGAAAGGTTGACATCTCTCCTACTAAAAGGTTGACATCCTTATATGTTAAGCTATAAGGATTGTTTTCTCGAGATTTTCCTCCAACAAAGTTATAATCCAAGTTGGAGGAACCAACCTAACTTTCTTTGGTCTTCTCTGACGGATAGAAAACCTCTGGGGTTTCAATCTCAAGCTCCTATGCAAAATACTTATCCAAGGCCGAGTCAACCCTCATACCAAGGGGCTTTTCAAGAACAAAGTCGACTCTCCGAAGGTCGAGTCTCTAAACTTGAAAACTTGGTAGGTCAAGTCGTTACACACTCCAACAAGAAGTTTGAATCTATTGACAAGATATTAGAGAGTACCGCGACCAAATTCTCAAGTTTGGAAGCGGGTTAAAGGAATCAACAAGCTTCACTTCAAAATCTCGAAGCTCAACTAAGATCTTTGGTGCAAACTTTATCATCGAGACCACAAGAAACTCTACTAGGTAATACAGAACCTAATCCTAAGGAGGGATGTCATGCGGTAACTCAAAGAAGTGGCCGACCTTTGAAGGAGGTTCCTATCTCAAAGTTGAGGATACCGGTAAGAGAAGTTCAACGTGAATTCTTTCAAGAAAAAGAGTTAGTTTGGGAAGAAGTGCAAACTCCTATTGAAATTAAGACTGAAGATGAGGAAAAGATTAAGAAGACTCAAGCATCCAATCCAACACCAAAAGCTCATTATCCTAGACAGTTATTCGAAAGTGATCTCTATCATGAATGTTCTCCACGGAAGGACACCTTAAAGCAATTGAAGGTAACGGTCCCTTTCTTAGACATGGTGACGAAGATTCCTAAATATACCAAATTCTTGAAAGAAATATTGTCGGGAAAGAGGAAGATGGAAGAAGTTGCTATGTATCCGTTAGTGAATTTGTTTCGGCATCCATCGGATGTGAAGGATTCCCTCCCAAATTGAGAGATCTTGGAATCTTCACTATCCCATGTACCTTCGGAATCAAAACTTTTTGGAATCCGTTAGTGGACTTGGGGTCTAGTATCAACATTATGCCTACAAGAATATACAAGGAATTAGACCTTGGACCACTAATACCTAATAAGATGCGGATTGAGTTGGCCAATAGGTCATTTGTCGAGCCAAGAGGAGTCATAGAGAATGTCTTGGGGAAGTGTGCTCATTTTGTTTATCCTATGGACTTCGTGGTTCTCAACACAGAAGGATGCGATGCATCAATTATCCTAGGCCGACCATGCTTAGCCACGACAAGGACTATCATTGATGGGAGTGGGAGCAAGATCACCTTAAGGTTTGGAGAGGAAGAGATAAGCTATAAGATGACTCCAATCCTCAATCTGCATAAATACTTCAAATGGGAAGATGTCAAGATGAATTGTGAGCCGGTCACTCCTCCTACCACACCCCCTTCAAGCCTCAAGATAGAATGGTTCAATATGGTCGTTCATGTTGACCCCCATGATAGTAGAGTTGAAGGTGAGAGTGATTCTTGCAAAATTCTAAAGAGATCGGGTAAGGAAAAAATTTATCACAAAAGGGATACTCAAGAGCTGCTCAAAGCCTCTCATCAAACCAATGATCATAGAAGGAAACATAAGAGGTTCATCTGTGAAGAGAGATACCCCAAGGAAAGAGGTCGGAATGTTAAGAACAACCTAGCTCCTATATTCGAAGATGAAAAATTCAAGAATTCTATAAGCCATTCACGGATGATGATATAAGGACAAGGGAGCTTGGTTCCTTAAATCATGCATGTCAACTTTTGGATGAATCTTTCCTATTTCAAGCACCGAATGAGGCATCCGAGAGACTCCATGGCCTTCACTTGGGACTTCACCAAAAGTTTGATTTCTATGAAGAATCATCGATGAAGGAAGAAGATCTCGTCTTTTGATCTCAAGGATTCATGTTCGGCGAAAAGACTTTTAAAGACGAACTTGTTGGGAGGCAACCCAACAACTCAGTTTGTATATATTTTCTTTTTCTTTTTGAATAATTGCTTGAGTAGAAATTAAAGTTTTATTGATTATGATTGATATGACTTAGCCCTTGCCTTGTCTCATCTTTGGATGTTTGAATGATTTAGATGAATGATTAAGCTTAAGGAATTGGTGAAAACATGTTGTCATGATCAGGGCAAAGATCGAGGTTGACATACTAGAGATCATGGTCGTGATCTCATGTCAACAGCCCGAGATCTTGTCCATGCTTATTTAAAGGGAAGCTCCACATTGCATCCATGTGTA